TATAGCAGATTCTAAGTGATCAAGGGCTTAGGTTGTGAGAAGGGTGTTCCTGCACAACTGGAGGCTGCAGTTTCAGGACTGCAGTTCTAGGACCCTATTTTTTTGTAACAGCGCCACCTACCGAATTGGATAATATAGCGGAGGCTGCAGTTTCAGGACCGCACTTCTATGACCGCAGTTCTAGGACCCTATTCTTTTGTAGATATTAAAACGCGGAGTAAGCCATTACCATTAGAATGTCCTCTTCTGAATCCACAAGCTGATGAATCACTTTAAACACTTGAAAACACCTGTTGGAGAAATAGACTAATTTAGGAATAGTTCATTTGTAATGAACAAAATATCATCAGGATTAGGTGAAATACACTATGGCCTGGTTTCACAGACAGGGTTTAGGTTAAACCAGGATTAGGCCATAGTTCAATTAGGACATTTAAGTATCTTTTATAAACGTGCCTTAGAAAAAAACATTACTGGTGTGCATCTTGACATTCTTGAGACAAAACAATGGCATTGATATATTTTAAGATCAGTCAGTGCAAGTTTCTTTCAGTTGAAACAGCTCAGAGATGCATTTTAGTCTGGGACTAGGCTTAAGCCTTGTCTGTGAAACCAGGGGTATGATTAGTATACTTAGTGTGCACTTCAAATTTAGTACACTAGTCTAGTTAACAACAAACAATGGCTGCATCCAAATATGCATACGTCTGATCTATATGGTAGTATGTTCACATAAAAAAGTATGTGAGTTCAGTAGCATTGAAGAGACGCAACTGATGCTAGTAGGTCACAAATCCTCAATTTAAAAAAAAAAAAGTCTCTTCTTTTATGATAAGCATTTCAATAATTTTATAAGGAACTCCTTTAATGTTGGATTTAATCCTCCATGCAAATAAATAAGGCTTAAACCTCCCATATATCATGGCACATCATCTGGACATTACCTTTTTACATATGTTATTTCTAAACAAAAAAATAAAAATAAAAAAGAGGAAACATACTAAATTATTTATTGACATAGCCATACTGTATGTGATAAATGTACTTTCTGCAACACATCAGTTGAAGGTACTGAATATATATATATATATTTTACATTTTGCATTGACTTCTGACAAGACAGAAAAAACATGTATAAACTTATGTTTTACTATTTTACTGAAAAAAATGACAATCTAATGGTTTTAATAAAAATATTCAGAAAAAAATCAATAACTAAAAAAATCTATAATATATTATATATTACCATGTGAACACAGAGAAAATTCTGAAAACAATAAAAATTATTATACAATAAAACAATCAAAATAAAAATAAAAACCTTTTCAAAATCTTGTCACTGCCCAACTTTTTCTTATGTATTTACTAAACTAAATACAAAAACATTTAGCAGAAGACAATGTCAAAATCACGGATGTAGTACGATTGCATCCATACTATAAAGAGTGCATATCACTACTGCCGCGACGTAAGTACTTGTTCCAAAGAAGTGCATACTCGGAGAGTAGACGATTTCGGAGGTAGCTAATTTCTAAGATTTTTCTATTACTTGTTTTAAAGGTAATTATCAGTAGATTCGTCCTAACAGGCCACGGATTTGAGTGTGTTTGATTACAGTGTCAGACACGCACTCGTGCAGTGCTCGGCGCTGTCCGCTGAGGATAGCGGTCATCCTGTGCTCAATCAGATGCGGCTTGCGCTTTATAAGCGTCTCCATCGTTTCAAAACTGACAGAACCATTGAGATGTGCGTGTAACTCCTGAAAGAAAAAAACACACCGTATTTAATCTCATTAAGTGAAATTACTTAAATTAATTTATTTAAACTCATTGGGTTGAGCCCAATAAAGGATGTGTTTCCTACCACTTTGGGCAGCTGACGATAAAAAAGATCCGCTTCGGTGTCCATCGCTGTTTCCGTCGCCTTTATGAAATGTCAACTTCGAAAAAAAAACTCCTGCGTGTTAAATAGCGATTGAATGTATTTCGGAGGGAAGTTTGCGAGTGAAGGGTATAAAAAAACGGAATGGAACGAAGCCTGAGTCTTCTTCTTCTTCTTCTCTTGGTTAATGGCGTATTGCTAACAACTTTTAGGTGCATACCGCCACCTACTGTACAAGAGTGTGTAACATCATGTCATTTTAAGTGTACTCATATTCTGCTCTTTAACCCTGTGTATTTAAGGAATGTAAATAATGCCTTCCTGGTGTTCCTTATCCCTTCTCCCTCTCATTCTGATCCCAGTACAATTTTCACAATTCCTTTTCCCCATTAGAAACAAGGTGCTATTCAGTCCTGTGTGATCCACTCTCAGTCTCGTCATTAGGGTGATATCAGGTAAATTGGGCCACTTTTTGGTTAATCGCTTGGGACACTAACAAAAAACCCATGTATGACATTTAACTGTGTTCTTATGATTAATAAGGACTGTTTTTAATATTTTTGTGTTGAATTGATGTAATAAAATATAATTGTTCAGGCCCTACAGGTTTTGAAACATTAGCTGCCCCACATTTTTTGAGATAGCAGTGTTCAGGTAAAATGGGCCGGCTGATCAGCAAAAATGGGCCAGTCAAACTGCAAAGTGAAATAGAGACATTTCTGATAAAACACATTTAATTATATTTAATTTTATAATGTAACAGTGTAACATTGCTATTAAATTACATTAGAACATCAATTTGAATTACATTAAAACATCAATTCAATTTCATCAATAAAACAAATTTCATGAAAAAAAATTTAACACTAACAATAACAAGTAGTGTTATGGCAACTGTTTAAAAGTTAACAGCCAATGACTGCAAATAATTTCGAAGAGAAGAGATAAGACACTCAAACCTTTCAATCAATTTCATCAATAAAACATAAATTTCATGAAAAATGTAACAATAACCTGAACAACTAGTGTGTGTG